GGCCGCGGGCCCGGGGGAGCCGCGCGTCTGTCTCGGACTCAAGAGGTGACTCCAGCACAGAGGGACTGCGATGCTCAATCTGACGCGCAGTCCAGGTAGTCCAGCAGTGCCTAACCTTTCTGGAGTGGAGCCGGGTCAGCGTGCGAGCCGGGCCCAGTCTATCAGATCTGTCGGCAGGCCCGGCCCGGCCCGGCTGCCGTCCAGCTTGCGGCCTGGCCCTGCGTGCCAGACTGCACATCCCGGATCAGGCCCTGGCCCTGCACGCGCCACACTGCATCCTGGGCCTGCGCACGCTGGTTCGGGACCAGCCCTGGCCCCACACGTGGTAGCATGAACGCCCGCTGCTCCTCCACTGCCTCGCCCTGGACCTGTGGCCCCGCTGGTATGCCTTGCCAGGCTGGAGGTTGAGCGTAGTCCATGTCCTGCCCTGGACGGGACACGTGCGCACCATGCTTGCAGAGGCCTCAGATTCAAATAAGCCTCTGGTGGGGGCTGAGGCGTGTGGAGCAGGAGCAGCCTGAAAGGACTTATTGCCCTGGTGGCAGAAAGGAGCCGTCTTGTCCCAGGGTACAGATCAGGGGAGGCCCAATTTTTTTGACAGGTCTGTCACAAATTGGCTATGCACCCTTCTCCAGGACCACTCCGATCCCCTTCCCCTGTTGAGTCTGCTGCTCTGCTTTCTGCTTCCTTCCTTGTGCTCCTTGCCTGACTCGCTGTTTTAGCTTCTGCTTCCTGCCCCATCTGCCGCTGCGGCATGCCCTGCATAGAGGCTGCCATTTCACTTGTGGCACCCATGCTGCAGGTTGGCTGCAGTTGGGTGTAGATCAGGAGTGCTCAACCTTTTGGCCCCACAGGCCGGATCAGTGGTGCAGGGCCTGTCTGTGAGCTGGACTGGGTCCTGGGGCCAGTACTGGCTCTTCCCTGCCCCCGGCACTGGGATTGGGTCCGGGGGGCCCACCACCACCTATCCCATCCCCCGTGTGCTGGGATTCAGTCCCGGGGACCCAGCATTGCCCCTGCTGTCCCCTGTGCATTGGGATTGGGTCCTGTGGGCCTGCCACTTCCCCCTTCTGCCCCTCACGTGTTGGGATTGGATCCTGAGGGCCTGGCACCACCCTCTCCTGGTCCCCCACAACAGGACTGGGTCCTGCAGTAGCTTCCCTACCCCTGTCCAGCCCTGTGCATTGGGATTGAGCGCTGGATCGGATCCAGCATGCAGGGTTTGGGGCTCCCCATAGGTGAGAAGATTTGGCAGGAGGGGAACAATGCCCCATCTCTCCCGCCACCAAATTTCCACAACCATGACACTGTGCTGTGGGTTGGATCTGGCCTGTGAGCACCCCGGTATAAATGAACTCACAGAGGCTTCAGAGAAAGGCACAGTAAACCACATTAAACATACATAGGATAAAAGAAAGAGGTTAACTCCCTGCCCGGGTGCTTTTAAGCTTCTATGTAATTTCTGTTCTGTTAAATCTAGTGTCACTTGGCCTATGGCAGTAATATACTATGGGAGATCACACGCAGCCTTGCCAGGTGACATGAACCATGGTGTTTCAGCACAAGAGACAGAGGCTTCCTCCTTTTGGATGAATAACTGGCCTGTTCCAGTTGCCAGTGCTGGTCACTAGAGGGAGGTGTATGCAGTACGGTACACCAGCTTCATATACTGTTGTTACAAACAGCTAGAATGGGTCATCATCGTCACTGTTTTGGGCTGCTTAAAATCATTATACTGTGGTGATTCATGATAATGGGGGGGGGGGGGGGGGGGGGAGGGGAGGAATAAAGCACAAACACAGCTCATTAATTCCACCAAAATGTTTAATACCAGATTAGATTTCCACTGAAGTACAGAGCTAATGTGAATATTTGTACAAAATATATGGTTAAAAATAGTATTGATTTATAATATGTACAGATATGTCACATCTGTGTCAGAAATCCAGACACTTGAATGAGGAGAACATGAGCAGTGGTCTCAGATCCACATAACATACATGAAATACTTATGTAGCTAACCACACTAAGACAGTCTGCCAAATCAACATTAAGGATCAGTCGATAAGGATGACAACATTCCTGTCAGAAATGTCTGAACGTGGAGCACGCTGCTGTAGAACGGATTCAAAACATTCATATTTGCTAAACTGAACGGTGTATGTCGTCAGAGCACTAATGTAGACACAATGAATTTGCACCAGATTAATGGCCAGTCACGTTCAATGATGTATTAAACAAGGCTGATTTTCTAGTGTCTAACAGACAGACCGGTTTACATCTTCTCACTTGATCCTACTCTGAAGGCAGCGGGAAAGCCCATGTTGACTTCAGTGAGAGCAAGATTGGACCATATTGTGTATGTCATGGCTACCAAATTTTATGGCGTTAGATCCTGAAGTCTTTATTTGGGTGCTAAGTGTCTGTAATTCCTATTGACTGTGAGGATCACCGGTGCCTCGCAGGATCAAGTTCCCTGTCCTCACCCAAGCCAGATGTCTGCTACTGAGTGTCCTGTAGCTGCTGTATTGCCAGGAGACTGGTATCCAAGAGTCAACGGGTGGTTTTTACTGTTGCTCTGGGAGTGTGCATGTGTTAGGTAAACCTAACCCCCATGAAAGGAATGAGGTGATTTGAAGGCTTCCTTATGCCTTCTGAGCTCGAATCCCGCGGACTCAGGATCTCACAGGATCCTTGATCTCACTGTCCCACGGGGAGTAAAGGGAAATACAGTTATGCTGTCTTTTAGATGCACATGTTCTCTTCCCAGCCAAAGCAGCTACAGGGGGCTCCAGTTACGCATATTAGACAACAGAGAGCTCTTGCAGCAAACCCCTGCTTGCACATCTACCCAGAGGTGCAGCACCTGTAGAGAAGCTTTTAGTCAGACTGTACATCTTCTTGCAAAGATGATCTTCTGTAGGGATTAATCTAGGACAAAGTGTGAGCTACTAGACTTTCTAAAACAAACACGGCCAAAATCCTTACCAACAGGACTGCTGATTACAGTAGCATGATGCTGGGGGGGAAGAAAGGCTAGGATCTCTGCAGAATTTTAATCTGGGCATTGCTTTTTCCAACAAGCAAACCCAGTACATTCTAGTAATTGATATTGCTGATATTGAAGAGGAGTACAAAAGCTTCAAGATCAGATATGGCTTCACTTTTTCATAAATCAGTGGGGTGGCTAAAGAACTACAGCACTGATTTGTTTTTTTATTTCATACAAATGCTGTTCATTAAAGGATCCCGAACATAAAGGAGGAAGCCTGCTAGTATTGTTCTGTGATTCTGAGCTCTGCTGGCCAGCAGGAGACTCAGTATTTACTTTTAATCAAGGTTATTCTTAATGACCTGCTCAAAATCCCTCTCCCAGGGAAAATAGTTCCAGCTCCATGTCAGAGTACTACAGAGTCATGATCTCCTCAAATAAATTGTTGTACTGAAGCTGGCAACTATTCTAATGAATCAGTCACAAGCTTTTTGTCATCAGGCAGCACAAAGCATTAAGCCCAATCTTGCAAGGTGCTGAGACCCCTCTGGGACTTAGGTGCAAGTAGTGAATTGGTAACAAGAACAGTCCTAGCCAATGCTTGCTCTTCTGGACCATGGAGTATCTTTGTATTTTATACAGCCCTATGCACGATCCATAATAATGCATTTGCACAACTTCACTTGCAAAACTGACTGCACGCAGTCAGGGACTGAGCCAATAAGGCACAGCCCAAATCCTGTAAGTGAGAAATGCCTTCAGATCCCGTTGACTTTTGGGAGTCACTCAGCACCTTGGAGGATCAGAGTCTTACTGCATGCTATCGCTTGAGCATGCTAATGCCCAATACAGAGGTGTAACCCCCCATTTTTGTCTGCGGATTTAGTACCTATTGGAGTTTTGTGCATGTGCATTTTGTTATGAAGATGTGCCCGTATGGAGGCCAAGTTGAGGCCTCTCTGAAAATCCAGGTATTCACTATTGCAACCTCTGAACTGATTTCAGGGCCTGTAGTTTTCCTTTCCACACACTATTGGACACAAATTGCACAAAGACTATTTTTAAATTAAAAGAAAGATCAGATAAAACATCTTACTTGTAGCTTGCATGCTGTACCCAGGCAGCATAACCCTAAAAAGTAGTGAGGGGTTATACAGATATTTCAACCCTGGATCCCAAAGCCTTTGATAAATTATTGCCTTTTTACAGTTCAGATACTGAGAGCTTGGGGTGCTTCAGTTCTTAAGAGTTAGTTTTCACAAAGAATCCCCATTTTCCCCTTGAAAATCAGCTCCCCTTGCAGTGTTTCAAATTGGGCACCAAAATCACTAGTTACATTTGCAAATTCAGACGTAAGTGACTGGCACAAGGTCAAATACAAGAAATCTATGGTTGAGAAGTTAAGAGAATCCAGATCTCTGAGTTCCTAGTCTTCTGCCTCAACCACAATACTTCAACATTGTTGCAGAAGATGAAGAAAAATACCTTACATAAGTTGACATGGTAGACCACAAGCCAGTACTCTGGTATTTTGTGGTAATAGGTATGCTAATCTATGTTAGTAGATTTTATTTTTTAAATTGGGTATTATCTCAATGCCAAGTTACCTATATATATATATGTGTGTGTGTTTAATATATTTAATATATACCTATTTAAATATATATATATAGGTATACACACACACACACCCCCTATGTTTGCCCATATCTTTATAACAGTATCTATGGAACCATTTCAAGTTGGCAGGGACACATATTTGTTCTTTTGGAGTGATGCAAGATACTGCTTGTGCACAATCCCAGGCAAATTCAGTTATGGTAGGATATAAAGCAGTGCAAATTCAAGAAAGTCACTGGAGTCACCGCACTATATATCAGATTTGAATTGTGCTTCATATCCTGCCAGGAATTAAGTCATAATTTCTCCAGAGAACAACAGTGACTGAAGAGCAAGCTTGCAATTGTTACTCATTTCCTTTAACTTCCTCCTCCAAAAGCACAGGGTTACTTTAACTCACCTCCAGTACGTGGCCTGTGATGTACATTTAAGCAGTTCTGATCTATCCAGCAGTGAGCATCACGCTAGCCAGATCATCAGAATAGTTTAGCATTAAAGATCCCTTTTCAAAATGCCAAAGCAAGAAGAACACATCAAGAACTCCTTGTTTGCCATATTTATTTTTTTAAAACTAAGCTCTCAGTTATACAAGTGCAAAAGTGATTCATTAGCTAATAACATTAATACTCCTATAAAATAAAATTAGAATATTTTTAAAGTGTGTTCAGAATAATGGAAATGCTGCTACGTGGTTAACTGTTATAGTGTGAGAACACAGGGCTGTAATCATATCTTGCACAATGACTTAACGGCTGATCGCAAGACATTCCCTTTGTCTCAAGAAAGGCCTTTTTCACTGTTGCTGAATGAAAAGAGAACTAGCCAAATTGGGAGCAAAATAAATGTGAAAAGAGCAGGTTTTGACATATTTTGACCTTATTTAAGGTTTAACAAAAGGACAGATCCATTTCGGTCAGACAGTGGGGCAAGGCTTTGATGGTTGGTTTTGCCACAAGACCTGTAAGTGAGAAATGCCTTCAGCTTGAGCATGAAGACCTGCTAGTGCATTATTCCACTGATGACAGGAACCCCACGAGGGCTCGAGGGTTTCTCCAGCAGCTCGAGGGGGGTACTAGGGCTTTACACATTCTCCACACTTCTCATTTGAAATATCTGAACTCCTTGCTTTGACTGTAGGGTGGTCACATACCTTGTATACGTATTTGTATATTTAAGAGTCTAAATTCTGAGAAAACTGGAGAGGACAAATCAAGAGAGGAGAACAGAAACAGCACTTGTAGACTTCTTCCACTATTGGCTTCATTTCTAACCAGAAATGTGATCAAAGGAGCCACAAGAGGGTGCCATTTCACTGCTGGTAAACCATTTCAATAGTGCCTTACTCTGACTGGGAAAGCAAATTAAAAGAATTGGGAGAATTTCTTAACCACTGAAATCAACACGAATTAGGAGTAATGTAATGCAGCTAATAGTCCTGATTTATAGCAGTTACAAAGCAGAATCAGTTTCTCAGTGTTGCAAATAGACAAGTGAAAGACAGTAGCTGAGTCTGTAGTTGCTACACAGATAAATCCCCACTGAAGTCAATAAGGGTTTCGCCTACTATGGAAACAGAAGATCTGAACTCCTAATTTTACCTAAACATTTACAATTCAAAATGGTCATAAGCCTGTTTTTTACACCAGTCAGGATTTGGCTGCTGGTGAGATACAAAGCTCTCTCGACAAACTTACAAATGCTCTTAGTGTCATGGTAGTGAGGTTATATCATCAGAATTATTTTTCTTTGCCAAAGGCAATTTATATAAAGTGATTTATAAACCTTGATTTGCAGCTGCCACCGGATGATTTATAAACCTTGATTGCAGCTGCCACTGGATGTTCTCTGAGTTACTCCAATCTTCTAACTGTGGTTATATTTCTGGGGATTAGAAATGAAGCTGTTTCCCACTCCTTCCAGGATAGTATCCGACAGCCCCACTTTTAGGACAGAGAGTAGTCAGTGAACGGAGCCAACTTTTAACTGTTCCTCATACATGTATCCCATAGTGCACTTTGAGATAATGAGACATTTAAGAAAACATTGAACTAAAACTGCATCACTCACAGTAAGATGTGTGAATCAGAGTGGCACCTAAACATTATAGATCCAAACTTCCCAAAAGTTTGGATGTGTTACAGGGACTAAGTATGCCCCCCTGATCCTCAGTTAATGTACACTGGATTCAGTGGAACTATGATGACAGAACAGCTGAGGATCTGGTCTTAAAATGTCTTCCACGTCAAAGCGACTATTTTACTGAGGAACGTGTTCAATTTAACCGTCATGTAAAAGTACTATTCAAGTGTAATCCTGTCTAAAACCAATGGGTCCTAATATCAAACTAGCTTTTCATCTACTTGGGGACTAAAAAGAGGATTGTACTCCTTGTACGAAGTTGCTTTCTGTACTGTTTGCAATCAGAGTGCTCAGATTGTAGTCCCCGAGTACATGGTTATTCAAAATCATACACTTTTCACTGTTTGAATCAATTTTGAATGCATCACTGTAAAGCAACAAAGTGAAACATCTGAAAACCTATTCTTTAAAAGAGCATTTACTTCCTGACCAAAAAGCTGTTAGTCAAGTCCCTTTTAGGTTACATCAATTTCTTTTGCACCGAACATGCTCGTTTAACCTAGGTGTTATCATATGCAAAGCAATGCCCATATGCACTGAGAAGCACTGCTTTAAGGTTTGTGCACAGGCAAAACTCCTGTTCAGCAAAAATACTCAAAAATGGCAATGGTTAGGGAAGTATAAAAATGGCCTGTTCTTACTCTCTCAGATGTGTTCTCCCCATGTGTTTTAAGCACTCTTTCTGCAGAGTGCAGTGACAAATCTGCTTTTGCTCCTCTGAATTTACTAAGCCAAGACCAATGTGAGCTCGATTCTACTGAAACCTGAATATCCACATCATTAATTCAGATCCTGCCTTCTCTCAGAAACTCACTCCCAAGGTTTTATGGCAGAATCTTGATGACAGAAATGAGTATCGCTTTCAGAACCTAGAGCGAGCTTCCAAGTGTTGAGCAGAAGAGCTTTGAGTCACTTCAAGGGAAGCAGAACTGCAATTCACTGTGCCTTGATCCTGACGTGTTTAATGCACATGCTTAATTTTTTTCTAATATTAATTTCAATGGAACTACTAATATGCCTAAAGTTAAGCACATGCCTATGTACTTGCAAATTCAGGGCTTAGATCCCTAAAGCATGTTCTCAAAATGGTGAGTGCGCATGAGAAAAATTAACGTGGAGGATCAGCCCAGATAGAAACTTTGGATGTCTCTTAAGTACTGCCTGCTACCAGCCACGATGAAAGCTTAAGAAAGCATTGGTAATTCTGCACATCTTGTGAGTGGCAAGGGTGTGCAGGACCGCGTGAAACAGGCAAGTAAATTTCATGCAGTTTAAGTTCAAGTTTAATGATGGTCCTGTTTTATTTGGCCTGAAAAAAAGACTGCATACACCTCAATATGGGCCTAAAACACATCAAGCAAAGGAGGGAAAAGCTGATTATTTGAGATGGGCAAATATTTGCTAATAGCTGGAGTGTCAGGGCTATTTAGCCACCCCAGAAACCTCTACCTACTCCTGGGGTTTGCTACTACTGTGAGATAGCAAAGAATAGACAATGCAATCGAGAGATGGTTTCTTCTTCCTTAAACTCAAGAGAGCAGGAGAGGGAAGTACCACTTGTACTGCTCCTAATGAGAGGGAAAGTGAGGATTCCCTACTGCTGGCAGCCTGGCTTCTTTCATTGGAAGAAAAAAAAATGAAGGACATCTGACCCTTCATAAGCTGCTTTGGCCTCCACTGCCCACGGCACGCTACCGCCAGAATGAGAGGGCTAGTGTTTTCTGCAGCTGAAGGGGCAGGAGTGTTTCATTCCTTCTACTATTGCTGAAAAATGTAGTGAACTTGCTGCTCCCCAGAGCAAGTTCCCAGGGGGGGCTGTGGGGTCCTCCCTGCTTGGCAGGTGGAGGGGAATGGTTTAAGGCCATCAAGCTGCCACCTCATAAAATAAAACCAGGTAACACATGAGGGAGAAGGGGGAAGCCAGGTTTGAGCCCTCCTTTAGGAAGGGGAGCAGAAACTGATGTTCTGGTGTGTGAATATTAGTCCTGATGCCAGCTAATGTGCCCATCACTAGTGTACTTGGTGATACTTCTGGCTCTGCTATCGTTATGGTGTGCAGCATTATGCAGTGAAAACCCCTCCCCAGCTGGTTTTAGCCCCTTCCAGATGGCATGTGATATGCTTATGTAGTCAAAAGATGTTTTCCTAGCCCTTTCATTAGATAGGCTTAGTCAAAGGGAAGGGATTTCAATGAGCTGGATGTCCTAGTACCCATGTGGCAACAGCTGCCCTTCAACAAAACCAAGCAAACAGAGAAAGAAAGAGGCGAGCTTGAGGAGGGGAGTGCTGCTTCTGCTGGGGATACTCAGTTAGATACCGGAGGAGGCAGGCCGGGGCGCCGGGTCTGGATAATTTTTGGTTTGGGAGAATTCTTTGGGTCCTCTTCTTCCTCTGCGTCGCTGTCGCAGACGTGCACCACCACGCTCGGGGTGGACTCTGTCCCTGCGTGCAGCTCGTACTTCTCTCCTGGAAGCAGACACAAGCAGTTAGGTCACAAGGCGCCCGTATGGAAGAACGCAATGCTCACAGTGCCCTTGACAGTTTCTAGGAATTGCCCTGATTCAGCGATCTGGGGAGCACAGATGCATAGTTGCTGACCCCAAGAGCAGGCAAGGGCAGGCACTAGCTCAGTCAGAGCATGTTTTTCTGTGAGTCTTTGTTTGCAGGAAGGGTCAGCACCTGTTGCTGCTACATGGCATGTTGGCCACCAATGGCTTCACTGGGCCAAGTGTGGGACAGGAGGAGGCACTAGATAAACATCATCTGCATTGCCACCTATCCTAGGAGTTTTGCGCAGGCCCAGTTATACCGGGCACTACAATCCAAGCGCAGACAAGGCTTAAGAGCATGAGACCAAAGGCAGCCATTTATAGCTGAAGGGCCCAACCCCAAACCTTTAGGCACTGGGGAAATTCAAATCTTGAGCCAAATTTAATGGCTGCCCCTCTTTATCTAAAATGGGCCCAGCCACAGTGTCAAACTCCCTTGGTTTCTGAGATTGCTCAGATCCAGTTACAAGTATCAAGGCTTGGTCTCACCTCTATGTTCTCTAATTCTTGTAGGCTACAAAGGATGGCTTATCACTGATAGTAACAGCTGTAGCGGTAAGCATCTCTACACGTCCTTCATGATGGCAAACAGGGAACAGCATTTACAGAGCATTTGTGATAACTGTTATTTGGGATGAGCCAGGGACTTCTAGAGCTGGTGCAACTTGGATTAGAGCCAAGACCCTTTAGCAGGGGCTGTGCTGGACTCAGATACCCTCTGCAGACCAGCCACAGAGCGAATCCTCAAGCGCTTATCAGTGTGACACACTTGGAATTTATAAACCACTCATCCTCGCACATTCCTTGACACCCACCCCAGGCCTCTGCAAGGCAGATCAGTGTGGCAAAGGTGGAAACACAGCAAAGAAGAGGCTGAGCCAGGCTTGGCACTCAGGATTTCCTAACTCCCTGCTCTGTGCAGTGCTTTGCCTAGACAGGTCCCAAGGCTGTATTGTGGGACAATGGGATCAAACCCCAAAAGGTAGATTTGAGAAGAATGTTAAGAAAAAGTTAAGAAAATATGAAATCTGATACACTGGACTGGTCTCTCAGAGAAAATGTGCTGGCAGCTCTAACTCAGCTGGAGAAGCACTTAGCGGGCAGATGAGAGAACTTCTCATAAGAGGTCGTTTTAACTTCTGGGCCCTGCAACCACCTTGCAGTTAGTTTCAATCTGATGAACTGACACCACTCTCAGACTGCTGCTGAGGCCAAGCAGGCAGCGCATGCTCACTGTAAAGTGGTCTGGGAGGAGAGCGGATCCCACAGTGCTGGGTGGGATCCCACAGTGCTGAAACCCCCAAGTGCAGTGAAAGCAGATCCCATAGCGCTGAAACCCCCGAATCCTGCTTGCCTTCACAGAAATACCTAGTACACTTTGTTTGTATTACGCTAGGAGCCTAGGGACTCCCACCAGGAAGCCCACTGCAGTAGCGACATAGAAGCAAAACCAAAATACGGTCCCCACCCCAGAGAACAGCCAGTCTGCTTTACAAACTGTTGACTCTGGGCCTGAGCCTGGAAAACTTCGCTCGTATGGCTAGTCTTTGAGAGTCCCATCTTTGACAAACAATTCCTGGCAAGTGTAGGGATTGCAGGGTTGGATCCTATCATTGCACATAACTACTTCAGCTATGAGACAGTGATTGCGCTGATGAGCTGTTAATCCAAGTGAGGTCTACGGGCCTGGGATTAGAGGAGATGGTGCATTTTTGTCCGAAGGATGGAAGGCAACTTTATGATCAAGCAAATGAATAATAGCTAGAAGTCAGGCTTCTTGCTGGGAGAGATTTTATTGCTGTGATCTCATTAACAGTGACATTTAACTGCTCTATTTTTGGAAATCTTTCCCTCAGATCCAAATCAAGAAAAGCATTAAGGGCCATGTTGATAGGCTAAAATATAAAAAGAAATAGCTTAGTTGTGGTGTGTTGAGAAATTCTATGGTTTCGCTTTGCCTATTTTCCCTGCAGGCTTCAGCTAATTTCTCAACGCTCGGCTGACGTCAGCACTGCCAACCAGCACTGAAGGCTACATTGGTCATTGTCAGCTACAAAGAGCTCTGCAGTGCTGCACGCACACAAAGCCGGGCCATTTCCTCGCAGACCGATGCTGTACAGTAAATCACATTCACTGCCCTCTTAAAAGGTAGTCATCCCAGCTCAAATGCAACATGCTTTTACTGCTCCAATCTTTCCTGGAAGGTTTTGAAAAGGAAAAGTGGAAATGACAATACTAGAATAAATACCCACCAATCTTAGGCACAAGTAATAGCAAATGCAGTTGACAGGTTGCAACTGTGACATCAGGTTGTAACTGATGTCACTTGGACAAATCAAGACTCCTTTCACCCTTAAACAAGTTCACAAAGCATCCAAGTGACCTCAATAATTGTGAGCACAATTTTGTATTCACAGTTATTCATACCTGCAAAACTGTGAACCGAAACATCAAAGTCTTTCTATGGGTAAATAAAGAATGTGGCCAGTATAACTAAGTTATCTGAAGAGTCACGTGCAATCAGCAGTATCTTTATAAAAGGACAACCTGGTTTCTAAAACTAATTTTTATTTTGACCTTTAAACAGAATACTACTGACGTAGTATAACATGTTCAAAGTAATAAACGTCAAGGTAATAAACAGATTATGAAAATGCAATAGATCTTCCCTTTTCTTAAGTGACCCTGACAGGCTAAAAACCGTGGGCCAAAACTCAGCTACTGTACCTTGAAGTAGCTCCATCAAAGTGTTTGGGATAATTAATCATTAATCCTAGTTACGTTCACAGCCTTCATTAGATGGTTTGTCCAGATGGTAGTAGTATGAATAAGGCACCCCAGTTTCTGTAGCTAATAGCACACAGGCTGCAAGGTGTCTGGCATCATATCCATCTTCCCTTGAGCAACCCACCAACAATGGGATCTACAATGGTGGGTTGTTGGTGCAACCTGTCAACAGCTGGCATGACCGAGTGCAGCCTACAGTGTGAGTCCAGAGTGAGGCTCAAATTCACGCCTCTGATCTGTGGAGAGATGCCTTGAACACTCAGCCTTGTGCTTCTCTGCTTACATGGAGCTGTGCCAAATCATACTTGCTGAGCATGTAGACCAGGGGCGGGCAAAGTCTGGCCCGTGGGCTGGATCCAGCCGGTAGTGGCCTCCATTTCCCTGCAGCCCGTGCCTGCGTGGCTGGAGCCAGTTTCCATGGAGAACCCAGTAGCAGCTACGCTGTGATAGCGTGGGGCCAGAGACTGGCCCCAGCAGCGCTGGCAGGAAGCACCAGCGCCAGCCTCTTCCTGGTAGGGGGCTGAGAGGGGTGGGTTCAGCTGCTGCTGCCTGTGCAGGGTGGGCAGTGGCGGCACTACTGGGAGGGGTGGTGACAGGGAATTTTGGGGTGGCTATAGCCCCCCAAAGCTCCCCCTAGCACTGCCCCTGCTGGCAAGGCACGTGGCAGGGCAGGGAACTGCTCAGGGGCCAGGCTGGGATCTTGTGGCGGTGATAGCGAGATCCAGAGCCAGCGCAGAGCCACGATCTGCAGCCTGCATGCTCCAGGCAGGAGCATTTTGCCTGCCCCAGGTGTAGACAGTACCATTGCCAAACTGTTGTGTATTCTCCAAAACAGAGGAAAGTTTGATTCAGGAACAAGAAATAAAAATAAAAAGGTCCTGTCAGTGGAACAGCTCAGCAGAAAAATGAAGTCACAAGCAGTGAAGTTTTTTCCTTAGGTGTTGGCTTTTGTACCAAGGAAGCAAACTCTAAATCAGAACAGGGGATCAAAATTGTGACGAGCAGCCCACTTTTCCTGGTGCAGGGCATGTCTACATGTGCATTAAAGTTATTTACCTCTGGGCACTTTTACACGTGCTCCAGGGGGCCGGGGGTGGGCGGCTCTGAGAGCCACTCTAATTAAAGCGCTGCTGAGTTTCGTGTATCAGTGTCCCTGCACTTAAAAATGGGAGCAGGGGTGCTTGAACTAAAGCTCGTTCAATGAGCTTTAGTTCAAGCAACCCCGCCACCATTTTTAAGCATGGGGACTCTGATGCATGAGACACAGAAGGCTGCTGGAGCGTGGCAATTGTCATGCTCCCACAGGCTCGATTAACTGAGTCTGCTCCGACACCCTTGAATTCCAGCATGTCGGAGCAGTACAGGCACCCTCCAGTATGAGGTACTAAATTAGCACGCGTTAGGCTGCACTAATATTCAGTACTGCATTTGCATGCTTTTTTAGTGACACAATGCACAGTAGGCTATTTTATTGTGCATTAGTGTAATGTCACAGTTTTTTCCATGACACTTTAATGTGCAGTGAAATAGTCTACTATGCATTAAAGTGCATGTGCAGATGTGCCCGCTGAGACCTCCCAATGGCCTCTAATCTCCCTAACTGCTTGGAGCCACCATACCCAGATCATCTCAGTATGTGCTTCGGTGGGACTTATGCAAGAACGAGACATATAGGGCGTGTTCCCACAAGCACGCACATGCAATTTGTGGTGCCTCAAAGCCACTTAATTGAGGAGAGACAAATCACACCCAGCGCATGTGCACCATGGTGCTAATTTGCAACTTGGTGGGGTTTTTTTGACACTGGGATCTCCCGGAGATCCCAGTGTCAACAAAACTCACCACTAAAAAAACTGGTGCGCTGTGTGTGTCACCAAAAACGGGAGCCTGGCTGGCCAGAGCCACGCTGGCTGCCGGCCAGGCTGCAAGCAGCTGACTCAGTGCCACTGATGCCACACGAGGCCTCCGACCCCAAGTAAGCTGCTGGGGCCATCACCAGTGCTGGCCCCAGCCTCCCCTACCCCACCCAGATCCCTTTGCTGCATGCTAGAGAGACAAATGTGCCACTGCCATTTGTTCCCGAGGGAAACGTGTGCCCCTGCATGTGCATGATTGTGGGGATGCACCCAT